CTAGGTTGGGATATTTTGGTACTGGAGACTGCACAGTTACAGACTTGGACAGTTTACAGCATACTGCTAGTTCTTCTACTGTGGCATAAAGCGCACATGCTTGGCAAAACGTATTATTTGCCATCTACAGAATGTCTTTGGAGATAGCCAATTATACTGTACTGCTGGTATGGAAACATTTTGGTATGTCACAGTAAAAGTGCTGCTGTCAGTGCTTAACTCTCTGTAGTCCAGCAAAATGTAACTTAGATGCGACAAACATGCAGAGTTAAATAAAAATACTTTTTTTATGTCTCTTCTCTATTTAATCCCTATATAAACCTAGTACGCCATAACAAAATTATTTTCTCTTAGCGACATTTTTATTTGTTGTGAAATTAATTTTTTATTGTTGTGTAATTAATTTTTTATTGTTGTGTAAAAACAGTGTGGGATTTACTAAAACTGGTGCACACAGAATACAGTGCAGTTGCAATCAGCTTCTAATTTCAGCGTGCTTAATTAATCTTTCACAATAAAACCTGGAAGCTGATTTGCTACTATGTACAGCTGCACCAGGTTCTGTGTGCATCAGTTTTACTAAATCACCCCCAATTTGTTTTTCAAAGCTCTTAATTAATTTTTGCATAATCTCATGCTTATGCAACTTCATGCTTCACGCTTATACCAGAAACAAAATTTTGATGTCTTGGTAATCATGCTAAATTGTTGAATAAAATTTGTACTTTATATCTACAGTAACATCAGAAGTTTTAAAATTATTACACTCCACACACTGGAAAAAAATGATTTATTTTACCTACTTTTGTACTTTAAAAATTAGAGACAAAATAAAATAAGTCCAGGAAGTTAATATAACAAATAAAACCTTTATTTATTTTCTCCCAAAAAACAACAAAGTATAAAATAAGATATGTATTATTTCTAAATCATAAGCAATGACAATTGTGAATCATCACATGGCATAACAATTGCAGGTGCCATAGTTTTATGCTATAGATCCTCTGCTTTCAGAAAAAAATATATTGTTTTGGAGGTTTTAATTAAATTTACATGTCAAATAGTTCACATTTTAGCAGGCATGTGAAAAAACAAACAAAATGGTCCTACAGTAAATGTGTTAAAAGTGGTAAATCACATTGGAACCTTCAAGGTATTGATTTGCTGCTGCTCTTTGTCCTGCTGAAAAACTGATCCTAGTCTAACCTTATGTTAGAGAATATCTGTCACTAATGTTTACTGGTTGAAAAAGTAGTTAACATGGAGAGGAGAAGACGTAAGCCGGGAGAGACAAAGGTAAGGTGAGGTAAGTATTCATCCCTATTATATTCAAATAGATCTGTCTTTCTCAAATAGGCTACCTCTAGAGGTTGCTAGGTATATATTGAGCTATTAGTAATTTATGACCATCAGTTAAGTTCCCAGTGACACCAATAGTGTTTTTATCCATCGGAAAAGAGGGTATTCTTACCACTGGCCATAAATGTTAGAAGCATTCTTTCCAATGACCATCATGCTGATGTCCCATGAGTTGTAGATAAAATATTCATTATCAGGGGTTCCCTTAGATCAGAAAAGTATTTTAAGAGTTCTTTTGTGTTAAAAACAAAAGTTTGAGAAAGGCTACCATAGATCCCTCTTAAAAGCCTCACAACTAGTATTAAAGGAAATCAGCATGTAGAAAAAGCAGGCTGCTATTTATAACCTCCTTCTAGAAAATGCTAGCTGCCTGTCTGACTTCGTCTCCATTATCTTCCAAATCACAGACCCAGAGATAGTGTGCAGCAAGTGAAGTCAGACTGAATTTGGGACTCCTCATCTGTTTACTTGGTCCCTGTCTGTGAAAGAATTGATGTAATTAGTTCATAATGACCGCCAAACAAGTAATATTTTTTAGAAGGAGGTATGAAATGGCAGTGTGCTATTTCTTACAGCATGGGCTTCCTTTACTATCAGAATGTGTTTAGTTACATTGTATGTAAAGAATGTTTTATCAAAAAGGATACATACTGTTGTCTATAGGTTCAACCCACAAAAATAATGCCCACTCTATGCACTAAGTATATACCAAAGGCAGTTCTGAATCTTGTAGGAAGCCATTGGACCCTTTGCTTTTACAAGTTATTTAGGTCCAAGTATCGATTGTCCTGGTGTCACTAGGGTTTTAGTGTCCATTGCTGCTGAAACAGAATAATGGGAAATAGGGATGAGCAGAATTGCCCTGGGTTCAGCTGGAGTAGGGTTTGGCAAAAGTCATACCCCACTGAAATTGGAAGCCGAATCTGTCAAATTAAAAACACCCATTTTTTGGGTTTATTGGCAAGAGTGTAAAAAAATAGCAAGGGGGGTGGCGTAAAGGGATTTCCGGTAAGATGAATCGTGAATAGAAATTCGCATGCGCATAGAAATGGCCGGAGATGAGTGGTCGGTTGTGCTCATGCTCATGGAAATGCGCGATCGCGCACACGAACGTGCACACGCACGGCGAAGATTGGCGCCAGACGGGCTATTTAAAGAGTGCCTCTGCCCATGATAGGTGCTGACTGGTCTTCAGCTCCCCCATGTCCTGCTTGTTCCTGTGTGATTCCTTTGTTCCTGACCCGGCTTGTTCCTGACTTGACTCTGATTGCTCTCCTGATTGATACTGGTTCCTGACTTAGGCTCTGCTCCTGACCTTGGCTTTCCTTCTGATTCTGTATCAGATGACCCTGGCTATTCCTATGACACTGCTCCTGTCTCTTACCCTCGCTACCTGCCTTGCTCTGGTGCACACCTGGCGATCTACAAAACCCGCTCTGCTTGTTACTACTGTGCCTGAATCAGAAGATCATCAGTCTTCCAAGATCATCATCTGCAAGAGCTGCAAACAACATCTACTGGCGCTCTTGTCCCCCTGGTCCCTAGACTCCCTCTGTTCCAACTCCAGTGGGGTCAGGGCTAGTGACACAAGTGAGGCCGACCTCATTTCAGTCTCTCATCAGGTACGTGACAATAGGAAACATGTACCAGTGCAAAAAAATAGTCCATTCACCTAGGAGCAGTGATATTTTTATATGCTTAATGTGAAATATTAAATATGCCCAATTCCTTTCAATAACATGCTTGGGAGTGCCCTAATCCTGACTGTGAAGGGGGGCATCTCTGTGATGTACAGAAAGTGCTACAGCAGCACTGACATTTACAAAGGAAAAACAGATGAGGTGGGTCCCTTTCAGAGCGTTTGTGCCCAGGAAGCGCATCGGAGAGGAGTCTACGTACTGATGTCACGCCGCCGAGTCCATGCGATGGTCCAGTGGCCATCTTTGTGAGTGTTTGTTTTGGCTTTGATTTTTATGCTTCACATAGCTGCTTTGTTATTTTAATAAAATACCTCACTATCTGCTGTTGTCTCTGGGCTCTGTTATGTGAGCTCTTCCCTAGGATGCGCCACTTTTGGATCGATCACTGACTGGTGCAGGGGAGGTTCATTTCCAAGAATGCCCATATAAGAGCCCATTCTGTAGTGGATGTCATCTGGGTATTTCTCTATTTCCGGCAGTGGAAACTTCTGGGGGGATTTCCATACAGAGCCTGTTTATCTCTTGCTTCTGCTCTTCCCTAGGATGCGCAACTTTTGGATCGATCACTGACCGGTGCAGGGGAGGTTCATTTCTAAGAATGCCCATATAAGAGCCGATTCTCTAGTGGATGTCATCTGGGTATTTCTTTATTTCCTGCAGTGGAAACTTTTGGAGGGATTTCCATACAGAGACTGATTCATTCTTGCTTCTGGCGAGTGCATAGTGGTGGAGGATTGTCACAGAAGTCACTTTACATCGCTGATCACCATTGATTCACACATCATTGTTTTACAATGCTATATTGGACTTCATGATATTGAATAACATTCACATATTTGTTTTTTTTTCATATACTAGCTCCGCACCTTTATTTATGAAGCATGCAACCTGGCTGGTCAGAAAAAATAGGGAAAAGCAATGCAGCCCCCCCTCCACCAAACAATACCATGCCACATGCATGAAAAGCATCTTTACCCTATGGTGATGAGGACAAAAGCATCTTTCCCAAAACCCTGGCCAGGTTTTGTGGGGGTCTGCAGGTGCAGGGCTTATCAAAATCTGGAAGTCCCCTTTAATGATAAGGGAACCCCCCTATTATATGAATGAGTATGGGGTACATAGTATGAGGTACATAGTCACCTAGAAATAAAGACATCCAAAGATTTGACAAGTCCTTTATTAAAAAAATAGGAATAAAAAAATAAGAAAATAAGACTTAGTGCATGCAACAAATCCCAATGGTACCACTAACCAAATGACTGCTCCTCAAGCTGTCATCAACTATGTATTTAAGGGAGGGGACAGGGATAGTGGTGACATCATTGTCCAAAGATGGTCAGTGGCCAAAGCTGTTTGGACTACTGAACCATTGGGTTGAGTTGTCATCAGAGCGGGGGGGCTCCAATGGGGACACACCTGGTACTCTGTTCACTTTGGGGAGATTTCCTGTCATTCCCTGTTGTTTTTCTAGGACAGACCTACCTTTTACTTTACAATTTTACCCTTACCTATACTCTCTTCTTATGTTTTCTAAACTAGGAAGAAGGTTTCTAATCCTTTTCTACATGTAGTCTGAAATGGTGCCCCTGGGCCATGTTTGTGTTCTTATGTGGACTATATGGCTTGAAATTAAAGGATAAGTTCACCTTTGGGAACATGTTACAAGTTCCACCCATTTTTAGGGTGGAACATGTAACATGTTTCCATAGCTGCAGCCGTGCCTGCCACCCCCCCTCCCTCAGATACACTATATTGCCAAAGTATTGGGAAACCCCTCCAAATCATTGGATTCAGGTGTTCCAATCACCTCCATTGCCACAGGTGTATAAAATCAAACAACTAGGCATGCAGACTGCTTCTACAAACATTTGTGAAAAAATGGGTCGCTCTCAGCTCAATGAATTCAAGTGTGGTGCTGTGATAGGTTGCCACCTGTGCTATAATTCCGTCCGTGAAATTTTCTTGCTACTAAATATTCCATGGTCAACTGTTAGTGGTAGTAAAACAAAGTGGAAGCAACTGGAAACAACAGCAACTCAGCCACAAAGTGGTAGGCCATGTAAAATGACAGAGCAGGGTCAGCGCATGCTGAAGTACACAGTTCGCAGAAGTCACCAACTGTCTGCAGAGTCAATAGGTAAAGACCTCCAAGCATTGTATGGCCTTCAGATTATCACAACAGTGCGTACAGTGCTTCATGGAATGGGTTTCCATGTTCGAGCAGCTGCTTCAAAGTCTTACATCACCAAGTGCAATGCAAAGCATCGGATGCAGTGGTGTAAAGCACGCTGCCACTGGACTCTAGAGCAGTGGAGACGTGATCACTGTAGTGATTAATCACTCTTCTCTGTCTGGCAATCTGATGTATTTGCTTATAGCCAGGAGAATGGTACTTGCCGGACTGCATTGTTCCAAGTGTAAAGTTTGGTGGAGGGGGGATTATGGTGTGGGGTTGTTTTTCAGGGGTTTGGCTTGGCCCCTTAATTCCAGTGAAGAGAACCCTTAAGGTGTCAGCATACCAAGACATTTTGCTCATTTTCATACTCCTAACTTTGGGGATGGCCCCTTCTTGTTCCAACATGACTGTGCACCAGTGCAAAAAAGCAAGGTCCATAAAAACATGGATGAGTGAGTTTGAGGTGGAGGAACTTGACTGGCCTGCACCTCAACCGAGTAGAACACCTTTGGAATTAATTATAATGGAGACTGTGTGCCAGGCCTTTTCATCCAACATCAGTGCCTGACCTCACAAGTGCTCTTCTGGACAAACATTCCCATAGACACAATCCTAAACCTTGTGGACAGCCTTCCCAGAAGAGTTGAATCTGTTATAGGTGCAAAGGGTGGGCCAACTCAATATTGAACCCTATGGACTAAAATCAAGATGCCATTAAAGTTCATGTGCGTGTAAAGGCAGGCATCCCAATACTTTTGACAATATAGTGTATATACTATTGTCAGATTTGAAAAGAGCGCAGCCGTGCAGAACTCAACCCACATGGCTGTGTCACTCATTTACAGTGTTCTGTGAATGAGTGCCTACAGGTCCCAGCAGCCTTAGCCGCTGTGGCAGTGTAGTTTTGAATGAACTACCACGGTGCTATGGAGCGCCGTGGTAGTTCATTGAAGCTTCCTCTCAGAATATCTGCTTACTCGTACATCCTGTATGGCAAGCAGATATTCTGACAGATCTGCAGGAGACCTGCATGGCATCAGCAATCTACTGATCACTGGTGCAATGCCTTCCAGGCTACTGCAGACAAAAATAATAAATGCACATTTTTTACCTGCAAACAAATGTGTATTTACTATTTTTGTCAAAAAGGTGAACTTATCCTTTAAATAAAAACATACTCTTTAAAAAAAGTAGAATTAGAATTAGTAAAATTAGGGAAATTGAATTAATCAAATTATTCCTGGGCTCAAAGCCCCATAGGTATCAGAACTACAGTTGCAAGAAAAAGTATGTGAACCCCTTGGGATTACGTGGAGTTTTGCATGAATTGGGCATAAAATGTGCTCTGAACATCATCTAAATCACAACAATAGCAGAACACAGTCTGCTGAACATAATACAACACAAACATTAGATGTTGCCATGGTTTAATTGCACATAACATGTAAACATTCACAGTGCAGGGAGGAAAAAGTATGTGAACCTTTGGACTTAATAACTAGTTGACCATCCTTTGGCAGCAATAACCTCAACAAAACGTTGCCTGTAGTTGCAGATCAGACCTGCATAACGATCTGGAGTAATTTTGGACCACTCCTCTTCACAAAACTGTTTCAGTGTAGCAATATTCTTGGGATGTCTGGTGTGAATCGCTCTCTTAAGGTCATGCCACAGCATTTCAATTGGGTTGAGGTGAGGACTCTGACTGGGCCACTCCAGAAGGCGTATTCTGTGCTGTTGCAGCCATTGTTTTGTTGAATTACTTGTATGCTTTGGGTCATTGTCCTGTTGCATCACCCATCCTCTGCGGAGCTTCAGTTGGCGGACAGATGGTCGTACGTTTTCCTGCAAAATGTCTTGATAAACTCTGGAATTCATTTTCCCATCAATGACAACAATCCATCCAGGCCCTGAGGCAGCAAAGCAGCCCCAAACCATGATGCTCCCTCCGCCATGTTTTACAGTGAGGATGAGGTTTTGATGTTGGTGTGCTGTGCCTTTTTTTCTCCACACATAGTGTTGTGTGTTCTTCCCAAACAACTCAATCTTGGTTTCATCTGTCCACAGTATATTTTGCCAGTAGTGCTGTGGAACATCCAGGTGCTCTTTTGCAAACTTCAAACGTGCTGCAATATTCTTTTTGGACAGCAATGGCTTCCTCCGTGGTGTCCTCCCATGTACTCCATTCTTGTTTAATGTTTTCCTTATTGTAGATGTGTCAACAAAAATGTTAGCATGTGCCAGAGATTTCTGTCGGTCTTTAGCTAGCACTCTGGGATTCTTCTTTACCTCATGCAGCATTCTGCGCTGTGCTCTTGCAGTGATTTTTACAGGACGACCACGCCTAGGGAGAGTAGCAACAGTGCTAAACTTTCTCCATTTGTAGACAGTCTGTCTTACCGTGGATACATGAACACCAAGGCTTTTGGGGGTACTTTTGTAACCCTTTCCAGCTTCATGCAAGTCAACAATTCTTGATCGTAGGTCTTCTGAGAGCTCTTTTTTGCGAGGCATGGTTCACATCAGACAGTGCTTCTTGAAACCAGTAAACCAAAAACAGGTGTGTGTTTTTTTAAGGGCAGGACAGCTGTCAGCAACACATCCAATATCATCACACTGATTGGAGTCAAGGTTGGCTCACTCCTGGCTCCAATTAGCTCTGGGAGAAGTCATTAAGCTAGGGCCTCACATACTTTTTCCTCCCTGCACTGTGAATGTTTACATATTATGTGCAATTAAACCATGGCAACATCTAAAGTTTGTGTAGTATTATGTTCAGCAGACTGTGTTCTTCTATTGTTGTGACTTAGATGACGTTCAGAGCACATTTTATGCCCAATTCATGCAAAACTCCACGTAATCCCAAGGGGTTCACATACTTTTTCTTGCAACTGTATGCAGAAAGGCTGAAATCCTGAGTTTTTTTTAAATTGTTGGGAATTCTATGTTGATAGAATGTATACGTATATAGTGAAGCTGGTGTTCATTAAATAAATGCTTTTGGGTGGATTTACCCTTTAAAAGAATCAGATGCTTTCTGTATAATGTTCCAGCAACATGTATAGATCTAGATTAATTCTGTCCTGATGCTCATAAAAGAACTTCATGGGCAGTTATAAAACAAAGAATTCTGTAAATGCAATGCTTTTATGTTTAAGCAGATTTATTAGCATAAATGAGACACTAATCTGCTCTAATGAAAGGAGTTAACTCATGTTTATATTTGGATTTAAAGCGGAGTTCTAGCTGAAAAAAATAAAAGTCAGCAGCTACAAAAACTGTAGCTGATGTTTAAAATACAGACACTTACCTGTCCCTTGGTCCAGCAGTGTCCTCACCATGGCTGGTCTCCCCGGCACCGGCATCTTCAGCATGGGAACCCGGATTCACATCCGGGTGCCCACCACTGCGCATGCGCGAGAAGCGATGCGCTTTGTGAATGACTCTGTAGTCTTCTGGGACCTGTCACGTATCCCAAAAAACTACGGAGAGAGAGGGGGGAGGACAACTTCCGCTTCTGATTGCCTAGGTGATTGCAGCGGAAGGCAGTGGGTACCTGTCAAATTCGGATACCCGCTCCCCCTGGCTCCCCAAAGGTGCCAATCCTTAATGGGGAGTGGGGAACAGAGGCTTAAAGCGGAACTTCCCTTTTTGGGTGGAACTCCAGTTCAAGTAACATTTTGCTAGTTTATAATTTACAGTGGAGCAAAACTGCATAAGGAACACTCCTTGTACTTTGGGCTTTAAATTAGATACATGCATATTCTTCAGTTCTTTACCCCACAATAAAATATTTCACTTTGGATTCACTTCTAAATGATAAAGAAACAGAATTGGATGCATATTTCTTGACACCCTTATCCAAAAGTCTTGCATTGGCCCCCATTCCAGTCTGGACTGGGTTCACACAGGAGCAGTGGGGAAACTGCATGTGAATTGCATTCCTGTTCAAATTGTATGCTATTCTTTGCAGTGCAATTTGCGTCCATTAGAGCAAATTGCACTGCAAAATATCGGTGATCGGTATCGGCAAGTACTTGACCGAAAGTATCGGTACTCATACTCACTGCTAAAAAAACGGTGCATCCCTACTAGTTGTTACATAATGCTGAATGTTATTGCCGCACACACATTATTTAGTATGCCAAAGAACAGTAACCCATTGAAATAATCTAGTACTAATCTTTCAGTAATTTGGATAATGGATATCATTAGCACTTTGGTCTCTGCATCACCTTATTGAGCAGTGCCGTAATCAATAAGTCAATGCAAATATCAGTGATTTTAGTTAGGTGCAGTAACCTATAGCACTCAGATTTTATTTCAGATGAGAAAAACATCATTTTGTCTTGGTTGCTTTGCAACTTTCTGTTAAATCTTAAAGAAAACCTGTCATACGAGAAATATAGAGGCTGCTGTTGTAAGGTTACCAGTAGTCCCCTTTTCCTGGGGACAGTTGCACATGTGGAGGCCGCTCCAGCACTGCCATTTTGGATTGATGCTTGTGGAGTGTCACTTGAGTTTGAACCTGCGCAATGCAATGTTTTCTCTGGCTCCTGGGGACAATGCTAGGGATGACCGCAAAAGGGGAGGGAGAAGAAGTCAGATGCCGGATGTGGGGGATACCAGGTGAAACGGTTGAGATATAATCTATTTTAAACATATGGTGCAGCTGCAGTGATTACCCTGCAGTCTGTTCCTTACTTAATCCTGACTCCAGAGCTCTGTCTGTTACTCACCCCTGACCCCTGTGCTCAATGCATTACTTAATCCTGACCCCTGCACTCTGTGTATTATTTAAGTCTACCCACTGAACTCTGCATTACTTAATCCTGTCCTCTGCACTTTGTGGGTTACTAAAGCCTGAGCCCTAACCTCTGTGCATTACTTAATCCTGACCCATGTACCCTGTACGCTATTTAATCCTGAACCTTAATCTCTGTGTTACTTAATCATAACCCATGAACTCTGTGTGTTACCAAACCCTGACTTCTGCACTTTGTGGGTTATTCAATCCTTAACCCTAACCTCTGTGTGTTACTTAACCCTGACCCATGTACTTTCTGCGTTACTTAATCCTAATCCCTAAACTCTCTGTGCTACTTATTCTTGACCCATGAATTCTGTGT